CGGGTTCTGATGAGAACAGTGTAAGCGTTCAAGCAAACCACTTCTGAAGATGCAAGCCACTCGTGCTTGCGAAACGTCAGGAATACATTCTCGTCGTTCGGTAGAATTTCTTCTTTCTACCGAACGACGGCCTAAAAACCCGAGAAAGCCATTAGTTTCAAGGAATGATCTTGCTAGTTATCGTCATTTGGTACTCAGTAATAACGCCAATATTTGGTAAAATTGAGGACTGAACGTGTACAGGGTGGTTTACAGTGAGGATGCGAAATTTTAGGTAACTTGGAAAAACCGTCGGAAACACATCGATGTACATTTAAATTTCGAATTCTACATTTAATTTAAGAATGTCTTAATGAGCACGGTCCAAATGTACTATTGTATACATCAGTACCTAGTTAAAATTCCTGATATCTTTCGAAATTTTGTGGGTCCTAAAAGAGCCAATTTTATGCCTAATCTTTAGCTTTCCAAAACGAAAACACCGTCTATTAAATGTAGATGCAAAGTTGAAATCCAGTTATAGTTTTGCCTCTATAACACTCCGATATTAGAGCACAATTTAATTGGTTTATCGTAAAATTAAAAAAATGCTTATGAAAAATAATCAAGCATTAGTATCCGACGCAAAAAGTCACTATTATCAACGCCCCAACTAGAAAGTTCCGCAGATCAGAAAGCTGCACCAAATTTTAAGATAAAATGGAAACAAATTTCTTGAAACTGCATTTTCAATACAACAAGCTGAACTTGTTGAAAACCGGCATAAAACCGACAAGAAAATGGAAAAATATGGCCAATATATGGAACAAATATGATGGTCGTTTACCTATCATCTCAAACAACTTGTTATAATGTCTTATGTTTATTTGCAAGCGCTTTTAAGGCAACGGCAGTTCAATTACGACGAAAAAATGTAATAAACTGTCAGAAAGGACTGCAGAAGCTCCAGATCTGACTCCTTTGCACTTTTTCCATTGATAATTCTTGAAATTCCAACCTTACAATGCGGAAAATGCATGCAAAATACCACTGCAAAAATGTATTAGAAATTACTTTAAGCTCATCTTGTTTCCATAGAGTGCACAAAATGACCAAATTTAACCAGATTTTAGAGGCTTTTCCGAGAGTACAATAAAGAAAGTAACATGATGCATTTCGGAACGAAAACTTTCAGATACTTACAAATCTAAAAA